AGGCGGCCTCGCGTTAGCGATAAAATAAAATTTGCTGCTCGGGCAAACTTTACTAATTTAGGGGGGGTCAACATGAATTGGGTATTGTTGAAATGGCTTTGGCTCAGCCCAGGTGGAGGCGAGGTCGAGCTTAACAATGGCTTCGGGCCACTTTAACGGCACAGAAGACGATGCTGGCTCCGAACTGCGCAATGAAAGAATTCCCAATGCCGCCGAGCTACACCGAAGAGGTGCTCTGGAAGGAGAAACTCGATTCCTTGAAATGCGACGCAGGAAAGGAACTGGCAAGAGGTCAAACAGTATGCCTTTTGCGTTCTTGAACGTCCGTCCAAAATCAGACAGCTCGGACCCCAGGAGTTTTAAGGGACTGGAGTTCGATTTTCTAGTCTCGGACGAAGGGGGCAAGCATGTATCTTCCCATGGCACTTCGGCTCGAGATTTACGCATCAGAGACGTTCAGGCTGAGGTAGAGAGGCAAGGTGCAGAGCCCATTTGGCCCACGTGCCGGTGCCGGCCGACGCCCTGAGTTTCAAGCAACTCTTCCATAAATGCATGCACATCTCTTTCATGCAACCCGGCAGACCCATGAATCGCCTTTACCTCTGAAGATTCCCCCAGCCCTTGAGGGGGCTTCGGCCTGAGGAACCATCATCGGCTCGCAGCTACGGGGAAATCTCTGGGCCCATAACTCGAAGCCCTCGAGGCAATGCCACTCAGGAGCCCTGCCTCTTGCGAGGGCTGGTACTCGGAAGCTTCGAAGCCATCCTCAGTGCTGAGAGATGGCAGACGTTCTCAGCCCGAATCACATCGAGATCGAGGAATTTCTGAGTCCCGAAGACATGGTGAACACACATGGACAGGTACCTTCAGGTCGTCAATGTGCTTTGACATCTCAGAAGCTGTCGAAATTCTGCACGTTGCCTTCCCTACCCGCTCTTCCCTCGACGCGACTCCAAAACAAGCCACAAGAGCTGTACATCATACTACCATCACACTCTCTCACTCAATACCTACCCGAAGAAGAGACCGTGCACAACGAAACGGTAAACAATGGCTCGAGATCTGCAACTCCGAAGCTGCTGCAACGCCAGGTTGGACGGGACATGGACAACAAATCATGCCTACACGATCCTCTCCTTCACCAAAAGGCGGGTCCGAAGTCACCCGCATCCTCCGTCGAGGCGGAGGAGCCCATTGCAAGACAGCGCCCGGGCGTTTGCGGGGAAGGAGGGGCGGGAGGGGCTTGGGTGAAGGGTTTCGAGGGTGGAAGGAGCTAGGGCTGTGAGAGCCTGTAGGGCAGAAACCCATGGAGTTTCTTGATTCCTTCGGGCGCTCGCAGTCATGGCCCACAACATCCCACACCGGCAGAATCTCTGCTTAGTTCGACTGTTCGAGAGTTGGCATGTGCACATGAGGCCTGATAACGAAGCTTGAGGCATATCACTCGCTGACCTTGCAAACGGCTTCATGCTCTTGTCACATGCAATGCAAATCTCTCCGGAGGCCCCCTGAAAGAACCAGGGCAGCCGCCGATCCGCTGTCCGATCGCACACTGCGCCTCTGGGCTCTGCAGAGGCGGCGACATTGCTGAAGCTTCCGGTTCAGCAGCAGCATGTACACACAAACCCCACATCCAGGCGATCTCGCTCGATGTTCGCACAACCTACAAGTAACATACGCTTCATTTACAAGTTTAACCAACAGTTATAAGAAAGATGGCATTGCATTAGACTGCCTGAAGACGTCTACAACCCTGACACTGCCTGACACATTTGTAAGTCAACCCGTTCGAGATCTTGCCAAAAAGTCTTCGAGCCCCATCACTCTTGCCTGCTTCGTCACGCAGGTCGGGCCTGCAAGACAGCTGGACGATGAAGCCAATTAAGGCAACCCGACGAACCACAACGATCGTCATGGTGATCGTAGCCAACAGGCAAAATGGCAAAGCGCTGGCCCCTCAGCACCATTCCCAAGAAGCTTCTTCTATGAACTACTTTGCCTCAAACTTCTGAATTTGCCTGCAAGAAGCCTCACTGAAGCCCGAGAATCTGAATCCTCGATCCCGCCGACCTATGCACACAGTCCCAACACCTCAACAGTCCTCAGTGCCTGCCTGGCTGAAGCGGTCTCTGAACATCACCCTGCAATGAGACCGACCTGTCTTCCAAAGAAGGGCTCAGTGGCGTGAATTCGCTCTGGCTGCTCTCCGCCTGGTCGAGATGTAGCTTCCAAAAGAAACAGGACGCTTCATCCCGACACTGAACTGGAGCTTTGTCGCCAAAGTGTTGGAATCCCGAGAAAGCTAGCCGGCAAAATACCAATGAGCGTTCAAGCTCTGCGGCCGTCACCCCGTCACCAACCCGGTGACATTGAAAAAGCATAGGAGAGTCTGCCCAAAGCCCTGTTGGAAAGCGAAGTTTGGCTCAAGTTATGTTAAAGTGAAATTGGCAGCGGGGCTCGGCTCGGGAGAGCAGCGACCCGGCCTCTCCAGTCTCCGAACACGGAGTGCGACCCCTGCGGCACCGAGTACGCGAGTACTACGCGGGTTGGAGCCCGACTTTTTCATCCATGTAAGACTGTGAGCTCCGAGAACTTTACATGCCTTCAAGATGGTGTGCCCCTGGGAAACCTACGTGCCTAGATCAAGCGCCTCTATAAGACAACGCGAGCCCTTGCAGCATGAGGCTTCCTGGTAGAGGAAAGTCTTGCTTGGATCGCGTCCGCGAATCCCCGCTCTCTAGACTTTTTCTGGAACTCGAATGTTATAGTTATACTGATGAAACTTACTACAACCTACATTGGACCTCTAAGAGAATGTCAGGACTGTACTTGGCAGCAGTGCCAGGATACAGGAGGGCAGCGCTCAAGCACGCAAGATTACTGCTTACAGTTCAGGGTCAAGGTGTTCAGAAATTGAAAACAGAACTCGTATTTGGCTGGACCTTGAACTCAGTAATTTCGGTGATCCCAAACCCCAACCTCAAATTCAAGGCTCTTCTGCCGGGGACTGACAAATTTGGGACGTCCGGGCCGTATGGAACACTTTGCCGAACACTTGAGCTTGAGCTTCGCGGTTTTTTTTGACATTCGGGACACCTCAAAACAGAATTCCGAAGCAATTGAACCTGCGCACTGTCGAGCTTAGGAACATTGGTGGAGCGCCTGCTTTCCATGGAGGTCTTTCGCTTCCTCGGCGGCGGGGAGAACCTCTCCTGGAGACAGAAGAATACAACTTAAGCTGGAATGAAAAAACAGCTGCCAAGACGCAAACATGGAAAGCCTCCAACTTAGCTGGAAAAGGCCTGCTGAACACGACGCGCTTTTTGAAGCCCTGTGCTGCGCTCGGGGGGAGCGGAAAGTCAAAACGGCCTTTTAAAGGCCTGTGTCATAGCAACTCTTCGAGAATTTGTCGGAAAGACAGAACCTTCAAGGCTCTATGGCTCCCGGACAGAAGGACGGGGCCTGGGGCCCTTCGCCATTGCATCGAAGGGAGGAAATCACTCATCTCCCAGAGCTGCCCTGACCAAAATCAAAATCCGATCCCAAGATTATGCGGCCAGAAGATTAAATTAAACTGCCAGTGGTCACCTTTGTCAAGACATGTCAGTATCACCTCCGTTTCAAGTGATAAGCCAAGCATGGTAATTCAGATAGTACCAGGATTAGGAGATGGCACTCACCTTAGGTGACCACAGCTACTACGGACCTGCCAGAAAGCTGGAAAACCAAGATAAGGCCTGAAGCTGCACAGGACTGCCCTAGCACACATTCAAAATCCGTGTTTCCATCTTTCTGCAGTTCGTCGGCCTGAAGATATACTACGTTTCGGCATCGTGTTTGTGCTGTGATGAAATCGATGACGATTCCTCACAGCTCAGTCTCAGCACCAAGTTCCTGTGTCAAGTTGAGGCTGGCTAGGGCCCAGGGCCTAGGGCTGCTACTCCGATGGCATTCGGCTTTTCTCTCATCATGGCTATGTGGCCTGTGCTGCTATGCGGCTTGGTTTTAGTGGAAACGTCTACCGACCTCCTCCTCGCACTCGTCGTCGTTTTCGCAGTAGGCCTCCTGTTGCATGAAGGCGCTGTCCTGCCACAGGGCTTATAGGGCTTATAGGGGTACATGACTTGATGACTGTCAATTGCGTTCGCAGCGCAGTGCTGAACCGGCGAAGTGGATCCGCGCCAAGAAAGAGCAACAAGCGAAAACCTGTCTCCCTTAGCCTTTCAGCCTGCAGCTTCCATGTTGAACCATATCTCTCCTCAGACTCCTCGGTCGCAATCAACTCCGGGGACCCAGCATAGTAGCCGTTGCCATTGTCGTTATAGTACTGACCCTTCCTGCGCCTCCTCCGAAGACGCAGGAACTTGCAGCATGTGTAGTGGTCGCAGCCCGAAGGCTTGCAAGTCAAACTGGCCTTTGCTGGATCGGCATGCCAACGAAGCCCCGTGCAGTCATAGCTCGAGCAAGTGACATCTGTGGACCCGGACGAGCAACAGGTGGCGGCAGTGCAGCCACTTACATCACACGGAATGGAGTTGGCATTCGGGAGCAGTCCCGTACCATTGCAAATGGACGTGGATGCGGTGGCACACGAGCGGAGGCAGGTGCTGCTGCCGGATTCACAGAACTGGCCCGCATTGCATGTCGTCCCGCCGCACGTGCAGTCTCCAGCTGCAGGCTGAGACTCACTGCAGTCAGCAGGAGGCGCTGATGGCGCAACACAGGATCCAGATTCGCAGGTCTCGCCTGAAGTGCATGTGTTCGTGCCACAGGCACAGTCCGCAGTTGCCGGAGATCCATCGGCGCAGGTCGGAAGGCAACACTCTGATGCAGTGCACCCGTTTGCGCCACAAGGAATTTGATCCTGGGCCGGGAGAGCCACGGTCCCATCACAAACGGATGGGTCGCTGGCACAGCTTGCGACGCATGCGTCGCTTCCTGTGTCGCAGAACTGGCCTGAAGTGCATGTGTTCGTGCCACAGGCACAGTCCGCAGTTGCCGGAGATCCATCGCAGGTCGGAAGGCATTGAGGCAATGGCAATTGTTGGTTGCAGGTCTCGCCTGAAGTGCATGGGGTCGGGCCACAGGCACACTCCGCAGTTACCGGAGATCCATCGGCGCAGGTCGGAAGGCAACACTCTGATGGAGTGCACCCGCCTGCGCCACAAGGAATTTGATCCTGGGCCGGGAGCGCCACGGTCCCATCACAAACGGATGGGTCGCTGGCACAGCTTGCGAGGCATACGTCGTTTTCTGCGTCGCAGAACTGGCCTGAAGTGCATCTGTTCGTGCCACAGGCACAGTCCGCAGTTGCCGGAGATCCATCGCAGGTCGGAAGGCATTGAGGCAATGGCAATTGTTGGTTGCAGGTCTCGCCTGAAGTGCATGGGGTCGTGCCACAGGCACAGTCCGCAGTTACCGGAGATCCATCGGCGCAGGTCGGAAGGCAACACTCTGATGGAGTGCACCCGCCTGCGCCACAAGGAATTTGATCCTGGGCCGGGAGAGCCACGGTCCCATCACAAACGGATGGGTCGCTGGCACAGCTTGCGAGGCATACGTCGTTTTCTGCGTCGCAGAACTGGCCTTGGCTGCACGATGCCGTCCCGCACCGACAGGGCTCTGCACCCGCTTCAGGCAGAGTTCCATCCGAAGATGCACACGGGGTGATTGGCAAGGTGGGGTTTTGTTCCTCCGTCAGCTCCACGATGTCAGGCCGGTCCTGGCAACTACGAAGGTGCACGTACAGTACACTAGCATTAATTCTAGAAGCCACTATCTATCATTATCTCATGGTCTTCACGCGCTGTTGTTGAAAATGCCGCTGCTCGTTTCTCTTTGACCCTTCGTCGGGTGCCATCCTGCGGGTCGGCCAAGCTCCAGTCGATGATGCAGGACCAGAGTGCGAACTGTTTCTCGCTCAAGTCGCTCAAGTCCACCGGGATCGGATCCGGCAGCGTCCTTGGAAACGCTTCGAGCTTCTGGGCTTCGTCAACGTTGGGGTAGGAACCGCACGTCTGACACATGCTGCAAGACTTTCTGAAGTAAGGATGTATTGCCAGCCCCAGGGTCACGCCATCCAACCATCCATCGGTGCAGGCGTCAGTTGCGTCGGCCTGGCATTTTGACCGCTTATGCGGCAAAGTCGGGCAAGGGGTAGGGCACTTAGCCTAATGCGCTTCGTGGGGCAAGCACTCATGAGCTGGGATACCGAGCCCCCTAGCGGCAGAGCTGCACTTGCCCGAGTCGAGCTAGTAAGGCGGAGGCGAAGAGAAACAGCACGTGGAAGAAAGATTCCCCCTCCCCCCCCTCCCCCTCCCCCTCCCCCCCTTCCTCCTCCTCCTCCTGCTCCGGCCACTTCCTCGTCGCTGCAATGTTACATAAGCGTTCGTCGCCCTGGCACCTGCATTCTACTGCCACTGATGCGGTTATCAGCAATGAATTCGATGTGTTTGCCATTGCTCCAATGTCTAAGACCTGACTTTTCAGCCATGGCTGCTGTCATGTTGTCGAGGATGAAAACAACCGCTGCAAGAACAACCCCCACATCATGAAGACAAGCAGCAGCAATCACAAGCCACACGAACAAACCCTGAGGACAAGCGCAGCACCACCAACGATGACACCCAAAGCAAGAGCAGTAAACACAACTGGAACCAGTGCACAAGACTAGCAACGACACCAGGTTGATAAACTGGTTTGCTGCAATGACGATGACAAGGATGACCACACTACTCAAACCCAGCACCGGGTTTAAGCAACATAAAGCATCACAGTACAAACCGTGCCCATTTCAAGACAGACACAACATCCACGAAGAGAGAGCACGGCTGCACAATTAACAGCCGAAAGGAAAACTTTTAGAGGGCATCCCACACCAAACCTTGTGAGGAAGCGGGACCTCCAAATCCGAAACACAAAGACTCCTCTGCCCAAAACACAAAAATCTCGTTGCTTGGGCATGTGTTTTGGGCTTCGGGATGTCATTTCAGATTTGCGTGCGCTTTGTAGGTTGGCTCTTATCTTTCTGCATTTGTGGGGGGGGGGGGGTTATAGGTAGCTTGAGGGATTTTGGTCGTAGGAACCGGGCTTTCCGAGTTCATACCATCGTGCACATTACATGAACTTGAAACCGGAGAAGACTAAGACTCGGAATCAAAGAATTTGGATTGATAGCAGCAGCTCCATGAAAGACTAAACCCTGGTTCAGTACCCAACAGCGTCCCGATGAGATGCAAAGAAGCCCCCTTTCATCCCCTTAATGCACCCTGGAATCCACTAGCTTCGGCCTGAGTCTGGTCGTCGATATCGTCGAGATTCTCGCCGGGCGCGGGGTTGTCGTTCAGTCCGCCCTGGCACGACTTGCTCGGGGACGGCTATGTACGCTTCTGCGCGAGCCCTGCGAGGCTTTCTATGCAAAACGCGACGGAGATTGAAAAGATCTTGACGAAATTTAGACCTAGGATGCTTAGAAAGGGTTTCTATCCGTAGAAAAACCAAAAAAAAACGAAACCCAAACCCCCACAGCTCCTAAGGAGCCTGATGCACACTGAGCAAGACCTTCTTCGAAACCCTCACCCTACAATAACGCCTTCTCTGAACACAACAGCTCCATGCTTGCCCAGGCTCTGGTGGAATGTTGCAAGCGCAGATTTGATCGTTGAAAGTCTGCACATCGTCCGCATTCTCATCATCGTATCCGCAATTGCCGTCGTTCGTATTCGACACGGCGGTCTCGCATTTGTCCGTACCGGAAGCACCGATTGCGGCCAAAACCCGGTTGCATGTCGAGCCCAATTGTTCGCACACCGTCCTACAGTTGGCACTACCTGATCTCTTTTCGTAGAACATGAGGCACACCTCCTCGAAGTCTGTCGGGACCTGATAATTAGTGGCGCCGGCGCGGTTGGCGATGTAACGGGTGGTGGCAAGGGAGGAACCATCAATCGGGCACTCCGCTAGTTGCACGAAATAGCTACCTGCGGCATTGCCCCCACTTTGCTCGTAGCCTGTCTGCGCCCATGCACACCGTGGGGAAAAGGTTGGCGGCGCGACGGTGGTTGTGGGAACGCCCGGGCAGCCGGGAGTGCCATCACCTTTCTCAGGGAGGCGCAGACTTACCGGTCCTCTGCATGTCCCGTCCGTTACAAGTGCTGCGGTTATGGTATATCCAGTCTTTTTCTTCCTGTTGCGGAACTCACTACTAGCCTGTTTGACAGTATCATCACGAACCATGATTTTCCTGAGCCTCGGGTGGCGAGGCTTTCCTAGTAAGACTAAGGGCCTCTCAGGACTTAGGACAGCAAGATTGGAGGTTTCTCGTCCTTGGGTCTCCCACCTCCACCACCTCCAAAGCTGTCGCAGAGAGTACAAAGCTGGCTCTGCTCGGCTGGCAAGAAGATGCTGTTAGAGACGTCCTTGCGACCGTTGCTACTCATGATTGTGCCGCTCGCCGGATATAATCGGTCTCAGGGCTTGCGGTGCTGGTTGGGATGTGCCCGTCATGCAGAGGCATTCTTGTGTGCACAATTAAGCAGCATGGTAAGGTGTAACTGACAACCATCTTACTAGGACAGCAGCAGCATCAACAGATTGCTGCTCAGACTAGCTATGGACCACAAGCAACTCGGCTGCGGGCTGTGCACCCAGGAAACAAGTTACAGCTTCTGTTTTCACCAAAGTGGCTCTTGCTCCCGCGCTGGCTTTTGCTCCTGCTTCTGCTGCGTCTCTTGCGCCTGCGCCTGCTCTTGCTGTTGCTCCCGCTTTGCTCCTGCTCTTGCTCTTACTCCCGCTCTTGCTTTTGCTTTGCTCTTTCTGTGCTCCCGCTTTTGCTCTTGCTGCTGCTCTTGCTCTAGCCCAAAGTGTTTTTGTTTAATAAAAGGAGGAAGTGATTAGTAGCAGTAGCAGTAGTAGTAGTAGTTGTTGTTGTGGTGGTGGTGGTAGTGGTAGTGG